AACCAGTTGAATCTCAATAATCAAATTATTATCACTCATTCCTATTATTGTAAGTAAGGTATAAACTGTATCAATTTCATATTTTTTCACTCAGTCCTATTATGAGTGAAAAACATAAAAAATCCCCAAAAACTACTTTTTTTTAGCGTTTTTGATAATTCATATTCAAACCACTTTTCTTTCGTTTTATGTATTGATGATATTAGTGATGTATTGATCACCAGAAATGTATAAACATTCCTCTAAATTATTTCAGTTTGTATTTTGGCTTCCTATCTACAAAATAATCAGAATTACAGGCATTTCCCCAAAACATGTTTTCACTAAAAAGAAAAACTGTGAGCCTCAAAATTTTTTCAATTACGGATTTGAACTCCCAAATAAATATGGAATAATTGGTAAAAAAATTATAAAAATCAAAAATGTCGAGCAACATGGGGTGATTTCAAATGGATTGACCCTCCAATGAGTAACGAGTGATGTGTGACTTCGATTCAAATCTTTAATAAATCAGTCCAATAAGCTGGGCAAGGTGGGGGGACTCAGAATTGGGTGCATGAAATCTTATATGATTTCCTAATTTTCGTTGGGAGGATCAACCTGTTATTTAGGAGAATGAACAGAATTTTATTTAAATTTTAAGATAATAAATATTCTAAGAAGAAGAAAGGTAAATTTTATTCTGGGACATGTAGTCCCTTAAAAATAATTATAATGAACAAAAAGATAAAAATTGTCTGGTTCGTAAATCGTACATTTTCTAGGTTAAAAACGGCAAAATATTTAAAACGCAGTTTGTCTCATTATTATCCATCGACCTAACGTCGGAATCTTGAAACCTTCTTATTTTTACAATGACTTTTATTAAACTTCCAGTAGGAATTTAAGAGTAATTAATTGGAAAGAAAAAAAATATTCCAGAAGACCTCGATTGAAATGATTGTAAGTTTAAATTTTTGGACAATTTTCCATTTAATCCATGAATCAATATTTCGTTTGGAAATAATACATATTAAACACAATTCAAATATATTAAGTGCAAATTTACCAACAGTTTAACATACCACCATTCCATTTGAATTCAACAAAAAATAAATAAACAAAAATGACGACTATGTAGTGTTTAGGGTGCTCCACAACTTGATACAAACAACCATTCGGCGATCTAAAGCTACCTGCTTTCATGAAGCACACCAGCTACTTATTCCATAGAATCAGATGGCATCCCAGTCGAATTAATAAAATTATGTCTCCCATTTCTCCTTTTTATCTACAATTTTTCCCTATAGAATTCAGTATTCCCAAACTCTTGGAAAAAGGCCATTGTCCTTTCGCTAAATAAAAAGTCTAACCCTTCTTCTCCTGAAGATTTATGCCCAATCTCAATTCTTTCCAATCTCTCAAAACCCTTAGAAAGATTGGTGCAATCCCAAGTTTCCAATTTTCTTGAAAAGTCCAACCAACATCATCCTCTCCAATCTGGTTTCCTTCCCAGCTACTCCACCCAATCCGCCTTAATTAAAATTTCCAGTGATATTCCGACTGCGATAAATGATAAAAAATGAACTGTCCTTATGCTTTTTTATTTCTTCAAAGCATTAGACTTCATTAACCATTCCATCCTTTTTAACGAACTAAAATAACTATACTTCTCCAATAGCTCCATCTCTTGGTTCCAATCTTTTCTCTCACAACGTACCCAAGTCGTTCCCAATCAACCCCTATCTGCCTACCATTCTTTATCCTCCGGAATTGTCCAGGGATCAAGCATATCTCCTCTCCTTTTCAGTTCCTACATTAACGACCTACATCATTCAATTCCCCATTGTTCCCATCACATTTATGCAGATGATTCTCAAATATACCTATCCTCTTCTCCCCCTGAGTTGTTGATAGCATTTCAAGAAGACCTAGATCGAATCAGTGCCTGGGTAAATGTGAACGGATTAAGATTAAATACTGCAAAAACTCAGGCCACTGTACTTGCTTCCAAGCCCCTTCTCAGATCCCTTGCCTACTTTCCCATACTAGACCTTAATGACAATATTCTTCTACTCCTCTGTTAGAAATTTAGGAATTTTCATTTATCAAACCCTCTCCTGTAATCACCATATTTCTCCCGACGGACAATTTCTACCCTCAAACTATTCCGTCTCTTCCACCATCTGATACTTCAACATGCGTATAGACTCCTGGTTTCCTCTCTCATCTTCCCCCACTTTGACTACAGCTGTGTGATGTATGATAGCCTCTCTGTGAAGCTCCGCGACAGACTGAGGAACAGCTGCGTAAGATTTGTAATGTCCCATGTCTCTCACCACTACACTGAGTCCCGGTACCAGGAGAGTATAGCCTTAAAGCCGGGGAAGGGGAAGATCCAACAAAAACAAATAAATAAATAAAATAATAAAAAAATATATACGTAAGTGAAAGTAAAAATATACCAACAAATCACAACTTACTATGTTGTTGAACCTCAAAACTAAAATAAATAGAGATAGAAAGTTAACGGTATATAAATATGTGAAGTGAATTTATAAATAACACTTTTAGATTACCGAACTCAAGGAGAGCGAGTTTCCAAGAAATTTGAATGCTCTTCTGGTTTTTAAAAAGAATCTAAAAGTAGAATTAGAAAAATCTTGAATCATATACAATTCCTGTGATCACTTGCATGATATCTACTTGTTCTCTGATTTGAACATTTCTCAAGATTGAAACCCCATAAAAACATGTTTCCTTCCAAAACCACATATGTCATCATCATAATCCATCTTCTTGAACCGCATTAAGCAGTGTGAGGAGGAAGTTTATAGAGCCTTCTCCAGCTCTGCCGGTCTTCAACAAGACGCCTTCTATCGTTCCATTGAAGACCTCTTCTCTGGAAATCGCTCTTTACCTCATCTTCACATTTCCTTCTAGGCCGTCCTCTTCCTCTCTTGCCGTCTACTTTAGATCGATAGGTTTCGCTAGCTATTCTGTTTGGTTCCATCCACAGAAGATGTCCTAGCCATCTCAGTCGATTCTACTCAATTACATCATTGGCCGGCTTAATATTGAGGTTCGACCTGATGGTGGTGTCGCGTACTCTGTCTCTTCTCGTTTTCACCTCAATCTTTCGGGAAAACGAGAAGAGACGCAACACCACCATCTGGTCATATTTATATACACCGCATATGTATATTTATATAATATTGTCGGAGTCCATATTATATTAAGTTCATGTTATGTATGGAAGCCTGTTATAATCTTTCGGGCGAGCTCGGGTGCAATCGATTACAACTATTCTCTGTTACGATTTTTTATTTCTCTTTTAGTTAATTATAAAATTATTTGATATTTTATATTTAACTATCTTTTATGTTAGAGCTTAATGTGAACTAGTCAATTGTTTCAAATAAAACAAATTAAAGGTACTTTAGAGAAAGCTTATATTGAAAATTAGCCATTTAAGTCCTATTAGAGAACATCAATCAGAAAAAAAACTAAATTTTATTTAAAACTGCCTAATTTTACATTGATATAAGGAATTTAATCAAAATCGTTTGAGCCGTTACCGAGAAAATTGTAAAAATATGTTTAGCCCATAATATAAAGTGCCACTTCCGGTCAGTCGATTTTGACGAAAAAGTTACTGTAACATCCCTAGCATATAAAAACATTAAATATGAAATTTCACTTTCGTACGACTTTTCGTTTTGGAGCTAGACTGTTAACACACACACACACCATTTTGCGGGACTTGGTTATTTGGACTCAGGGGACTTCAAAACGTGTATATCTGTTGAAAACTGAGATTAAAAAACTTTCACGAATATTTTCCTTAACTATATATTTCATATATAGGTAAGTGAAAGTCAGGGGGCGGGGTGGCCGAATAGGCTAAAGCGTGTGAACAGCACCGCTATTTGCCTGGCAACCGGATAACAGAGGTTCGAGATGATATAAAAAGTACGAGTTCGCGTCCCGGTGCCGGAGGGAATTTTGAATTCCCCGCCCTCACCCCCCGGCCCGGGAAAATCCCGTATAGCCTAAAAGGCAAGGTAGGGAAGAACAAAAAAAAAAAAAAAAAAAAAGGTAAGTGAAAGTAAAAATTCTGAAACAAATCTCGAAACTCTGTCATGGTCATGGGTACAATGCAAAAGCATACTATTTTTGAGAATATACGATTAAAAATGGGAAAGTGAAGCCGAAGAATATTCCGCCAATTGCCCTTATTTCAACTCATTGAAATTTATTGTCGCTGGATTGAATGCTTCTTGATGATGATGATTGAATGATTTCGATCTGTGACTTGACCCACATTCCGTTTCAATTCTTAGTTTTGGCAAAACACTCAAAATTATTAATGCCTCTAGTTTCATTTTACTATTCCACAATACTCACTTGAAGTCTCTTGAGATTCAATGAATTCTCAACTCTTCAAATTTTCTTTATGAATGTGCTGTTGAGAGTTCTCGGGAATGAAAAATAATTTAGCTAATAAAATAAAATACTCTCTTAAGAGTCGAAATAACTAAATTAACTTCTCAAATGTTCAGAGATGTGGGTCTTATTCTCAAGATTTCTTTCGGGAATAACTATCAACTGGTAGGTACTTTTATTGGAAGTGAGATGTAAACAGACAATCCACTAGTCATTGAGATTCCTCTGCAGGATTTGAAATTCTGTTCTTTTGTATAAATGAATATACAATCAAACATACATACATATGCATATATGTTCAGGAATTACAGTGTTAAAATTCCTGACTTCAATTATGAAGATCTCAGAGGTGACTATGCTTAGACTAGTGTCTCATGAATAATAGGTATTCTTTTCTATTTTAAATTTAAGTATTCGATAAATCTGAATTACTGACACCCAAGAAAAATGTAATGCCTAATATCAAGAGCAAGTTTTTAAGTTGTATAAACATAATTAATTAACTTAATTTAGATTACACCGTTTCTACGTATTCGTTTTGTCTTGAAAAATAATATTTCTCAAATGGAGAATCGTTTTTTGTAGGTACGTATTTAGAGTAGTGGATAGAAATTTCTCTGGCTGTAGTTCCCGATAATAATAGATATATTTAAACTTGATAAGATGGTATTGTTTACACGTAAAACCATGTAAATAAATCTATTTTATCTTTCAAGGCCACATTATGAACGTAAATAAACTCTCTGCCAGATAACCTGTTCATTTGTTTTGAATTGATATTTGTTGAGTAAATTGTGAAAATAAATTAGAAATATTTTCCTATTATTTATAGAACGGAAAATTTGAGTTGTAATCAAAATTATCAATACCTGACAGTATGGATAAAAGTGGAGCAGCTGATCGTAAGATCAGTGGATATCTGTCATGGCTGGGTTGTGTACCCTTTCTTCAAATTATTTTTATCTGACTTAGACACGGCTAATTATCACATCATAGAGTATCATTTATTTTCAATGTTATGTTTTTCGGCAGGGTTTACGCGAATTGCAAAGCCTTCAGTGCTCTACGATATCCATATGTTCACTTGGCCTCCAAGTTTGTGATATGTAGGAACTTTCATCATCCAGTTGGACTCTATTTTAAACACATTTGTCCCCAGAGGTATGTGATGTTGAATGTAAATCCTGTCCAATTGAATTGCTGTCCAGACAATTTTTAACAGTCTGCTTTTGCAGGCCTCTCAGTACTGCAGTCAGGTTGTTAGGGAAGGAAATGGCAACTGAAAAAGCTTTAACAGAAGGTGAACCTAAACAGTCTCGGAATAGATTGGGTAAGGAGAAATCTCCGTATTTGTTACAACATGCGACTAACCCTGTAGACTGGTAAGTTCCTTTAATATACTTGTTAATCAGTTATAACGTTAACACATATTTTCATTGGTGCTATTCCTAACAATGAGTAGATATTTAATATTATAACATCTTGTATGTTGTTTACTGATCAAACAAGAGTGTTATCATTTAAGTGGATTCAATATTTGCATTAAGAGAAATTGTCAATAGACTCAATGAATATAGTTAAGCAAAATATTGAACTGAATTATACATCCGTTTCTTCATATTAGAACTTAAGTTTTTTGCAATTAATGCAAGCCTATATTTGGTACAATTTTGTTGTATTATTGTTATGTTCCTTTCTTAATTCAGTACTTTACAAGTATCATCCCGATATAGCAGCTTGGCCAAGATCACACAAGTTGCATGTTTAAAAATGACAGATTATGGTCGATAGTAGGAGGAGGTTAATGGTTATCTCAGTAATGTCCTATAAGAAACTGTTGCCGTTTTTAATTTATTTTATGTGAATTGAAACAAATTTATAGATGGATAAATGAGGCTAGATTGAAACATGGTTCTCAATACTACTAAAATTCCATCTGCAATGTGATCTGTATAATCTTGGCCTTGTAACCCTATTGGAATGATGCCTGTGAATTTTTCCTGAAAAAAATTTAAATAATGAAGTAGTTCTAATTTAGCCATTTTCATTGAATATTTATTGAGAAGTTGGTTGAACTTTTTATGATGAATAATTTTGATATATTAAATATACTCTCATCCTAATTAGTATTTATTGTAAATAATCACGTTTTAATACATTATTAAAACTAACTTTCATAAAGGATTATTTTATTATTGTTTTTTCAACATATGAAGCACTTTTGGTTTTAGTTTAAAGTGGATAAATTCACTTTAAAGCATTTTTTATCGAAAAGGAGTTAGCAATGCCATTTTGTAGCTTTCAAGGAATTATAGAACCACTTTAACAGGATTAAATATAGTAATAAGATTTTGGGAAATATATGAGAGTTTTGGATAACTTTCAAATTTATTTTTCTTTAAACTAAGCTTATGTTGTAAAATGATTTTATATTGTTGACTGTATAATGAATTTTAGGTTAATTTGATTAGGGACCATGATCTAAGGTGAAATAACACACAAATAATCCAATATATTTCTAGTCATTGTTCACAAGTGAAATTTTCACACACTTGTGAACATCTCAAAGGAGTCAGTTTTATGAAGGCCTCAAACTTAGGCTGAAACGTCAATACAATAAAATAAGACTTCTTGTTTGTGCATTGTATCATCTATGACCATACTCTCGACCAATTGCTGTTACTGTTTTTGTTTTGTGTTTATGTATCATATATCACATCTGCTTTGATTTTTTTTTTTTCTATTTAAGGTATCCATGGGGCGAGGAAGCTTTTGCAAAAGCTCGTGAAGAAGATAAAATCATTTTTCTTTCAGTTGGTTATTCTACATGTCATTGGTGCCATGTAATGGAAAGAGAATCATTCGAGAATGATAATGTTGCTTCGATTATGAATGAATATTTTATAAACGTAAAAGTTGATCGTGAAGAAAGACCTGATGTTGATAAGATTTATATGACATTTGTCCAAGTAATACTTGTGCTTTCTTATAAATGTTAAAAGTTTTGTTTTTTATTTAATTTCATTGTCTACAATTTCATTTTTTCTTTCAGGCTACTTCAGGTAGTGGTGGGTGGCCTATGAGTGTGTTCTTGACTCCAGATTTGAAACCTGTTGCTGGTGGTACTTATTTTCCTCCTAAAGACAGTTATGGAAGACCTGGCTTTAAAACTGTACTTCTTAACATGGCAAAGCAAGTATGGTGTTTAATTTTTGTTTTCGAAAATATTATGTTTATAATATCTCTTATTTGAATAGATCTTCTTTTTTTTCGTTAATATTTGAAAATTTGTAATTTTAGTGGGCCGAACAACGTGCTAAAGTCTCTGCCACTGGTAAAAGAATAACTGAGCTGTTAGAACAGACAACTGCTTTTGATGTTGGACTAGCTGGTTCATTGATCGGGGGTGAAGTTCCAGAAAAAGAAACTTGGGATTTATGCATGAATCAACTTAGCAACAGTTATGAACCGTTGTTTGGCGGTTTTTCAATGGCACCGAAATTTCCGCAGCCAGCTAATTTTACTTTCCTCTTTCACCTAATTGCACGAGATCCTAAATCTGAGAGTGGAGAAAAAGCTAAACAGATGGCACTTCATACACTTGACAAAATGGCCAAAGGAGGAATCCATGATCATGTTGCACAGGTAATTTGTTTTATTAATATGAATAATTGCTTTCAATACTTTTATGGCAATAATTGTTATTGTGATGTTTAGTAACGTTTTACTTGAGCCAATAAAGTATTTGTTTTCAAGTATAAATGAATCGGTTATTTCACAAATGACGCATGTGTAATTTTAACTGGTTTTAAGTTGAGACTTTTTGAGCATACATTGTTTATATAATCTTTTAATGTCAGATTTAACCCATTATATATAGTACAAAGATTTTATGTTTGTGCCATGTATTTTTGGTGGCTATTATCTTTGAAAATTTTAGTATAAAATATTTTTTTAGAGATGGAGTTATAGTTTACTGTTGAAATTGTAGGGATGAAAAATATGTTTTTTGTTTGGTTTTCAAAATCAAGAAAATGCCACATGAATCATTTCTGAAATAACCGCTTCAAATATTAAAAATAGTATCATGTTTGGTTGATAGATTGACCTAGATTACATCGATCATACTGCCCATAGAATGCTGAAACTAGATGAAAGTATATGTAGGAGACTGAATTCCAGGCTCTCCAATTAATTTATATAATAAATAACATTATGAAGTGATTTCTGCCTAACAGTATGCTTATATTTCATGCTAATTATCAAAATAATTACCAATTTTATATTTTCAACTGATAATAGTTGTGTCTCCTTTTATTTTTTTTTTCGAAGTTTTAAGCACAGTAATAATTATCATGAAGCTAGGAATTCAATTACAAGAATGGAGATCAAGATAAGGAAACAAATAAAAAGTTTAAACAATATAGACCATCTTTATAATGCGAAATCAAAAATTCTATAATTAAAATTATTAAGTGTGAATAAAAATAATAAACTAAATCAGTAAATTCAACCAATTTTTATTGTCTTGTGTGAAATAATCATATAATCGTTGGTTTACTGCAAAAAGTTCATTATTGATGGAGCTAAATTTTATGAATTATAATGGTTTCGGTTATAGAGACATCACAGTACAATTTCGACCGCTGCTCAAAATAATTCCAGTAATATGTATTGAGAAACTCTCTTAAGTCAACTTTAATTTTTTTTTCTTTTTCGGATAACCAGAAGTTTTGGATTGCTAAGAACTCGGATTATCGAGATCGTCCTTTATTTGGTATCTGTGTGTGACTTACTATTAAACTGTTATAACTGATTCCTTGAATAAATCTTTATATATATATATATATATATATATATATATATATTATATATATATATATATATATATATATATATATATATATAACGCAAATTATTCTTATCCAAATGTTTTATTGTTATGAAAATAATTATTTGCAGGGATTCGCTCGATATTCTACTGATAGTAAGTGGCATGTACCACACTTTGAAAAGATGTTATATGATCAAGCTCAATTGGCTATTATTTATTCGAATGCATACTTATTAACTAAAGATGATAAATATGCTAATGTCGTGAGGGATATCCTCACCTATGTTTCTCGAGATTTAAGCCATTCTGTAAGTAATGAGATTTATTACAGATATATTCTGCCTATCAGAGCTGAACTTCTAATGAATTTATCACCTATTTTTTTAATTTTTAATTTTTTAGGAAGGTGGCTTTTATAGTGCTGAGGATGCCGATTCGTATCCGACCCATGACAGTTCTGAGAAAAAAGAAGGTGCCTTTTGTGTCTGGACGCACGATGAAATAAATGGGCTGCTAAGCATACCATTACAAACGAAACCAGAACTTAACTTAAGCTCAGTATTCTGTCATTACTATAGTGTTGAACCTAGGGGAAATGTATCCCCGGAAAATGATCCTCATGGTGAACTTAAAGGACAAAATGTGCTAGCTGTATTCCATTCTGAACGTGACACCTGTGACAAATTTGATTTAAGTCTTCCCGATCTGCGTAAAGAACTAGCGATTGGAAGAAAAATTCTCTTTGAACAAAGACAGAAAAGGCCAAAACCACATCTTGACGATAAAATAATCACTTCATGGAATGGTTGGTAAAATTATTTTCACAGTTCTTATTGTTAGTGTTTAATTTTTTATTAAAATTATTCGTATATCACACTTTCACATGAGTACTTATGTTTTTGGGGAGTGGGGTATCTCAGTGCTAAGGCTCTGACTTCCAATGCTTAATGTCACAGTTTCGAACCCCGGCTGATGGTAGGTCTATTATTTATTCTGGTTTGTCAGCCATGGATCAATCCTGGGTTCGGAAGACTTTTCTAGGGCACACCCAGTCTCTATAATGTGGGTACCTTTAATCAAATAATTAATTAAGAGAGAAATCATGGCTGTTGAGCGTTATCTCGGTCAAATCATTTCCTTACGGAACTATTGGCTTTCAAACAGTACTTCCTTACTATCTACTGAACCAATGACCGTTGATGGATTGTAATGGTACACGTTTTGTTTTATATAGATAGCAAAATATCTCATTTTTACAGAAATGTTACTTGACCACTCTATATCTTATCCAATGATATTATCCTTAAAAATTTTTTTAAAAAATGATTATATATCCTCATTTTGGATTTGCTTATATTTCATTTGTTATTTTCACTAGCATTTGAGTTTACTATTCTGTTATTTTATTTTTGTTATAGGATTGATGATATCAGGGTATGCTAAAGCAGCGAGTGCACTAAATGATGAAGGATATAAGCAGAGGGCCATCGACGCTGCGAACTTTGTTAAGAAGTACCTTTACACTGATAAAAAAAGGCTTTTGAGAAGCTGTTATACTGAGAATAATAAAATAGCTCAAATGTCAGTTTATCAAAACTTTTTTTGACATTTTAATGATATTTTTTTCTTTTTTAATGAACTTTTGATGTTGGTGTTTCAGTAAGGAACCGATTGAAGGATTCTTAGATGATTATGCCTGCCTCATCAAAGGCCTCATTGACCTTTACGAGTGTACATTCAATCCCGAGTGGCTGCTCTGGGCCTCCGTTCTACAGACCTCTCAGGATGAACTGTTTTGGGATCACGGGCTCGCCGGCTACTTCTCCACCTCCAATTCTGATGGTCACAACCTTTTCCGGCTAAAAGAAGGTTTATAAATATTTACATTTATTTCCTTTTTCAAGGTTTAATGTTATGATTGTGAGAGATGAGTAGATAGGTGAATTTATAGTATATAGGTGAACAGCCATGGTATGAGAAGGCTTTTTTAAAATGAAAAAGTATACTGGATATCATTTAATATTCATATCAGTTATAGTGATTAATATTTCCAGAATTATGATTGTCAAAGCAATTTTTTTTATTGGATACAGCAACCACTGTTTTAACAACTCACTTCGGTGACCAATAGAATAATTAAGGACTGTTTTAGTGACCTTTCAGGAACTCAGAATGAGTTCTTGGAAAAAAGGTTCCAGAAGGAGGATTTGTCTGTTCAGTGAAGCGTTTACTGATTATTGGGATTTATGAATATCAGTTTATCTAATCAATTTAACATGCAACTTTATCATATCTTGAATTTAGAAAATTAGGAGCTTGATTCAAGGAGAAACATAATAACACATCAACACCAGGCATCAAATAAATCAGTGAGCTATGACTGAAATGACTTCAGATCTAGAGAAGCTGCGAAATTTCTGTGATATGTTCTCATTCTGCATACTCCTCGCTAAATTAATTTCTTGAAATTTATTCCCTATTTTACTTAATAAATTTCGAATGAAGACATTTCCAGAGGTTGGATTCAAAGATTTTGTTCTCTGCTTATTGATTTCTTCTAAAGAAATTTGAAATGTTGAATATTTTTTTTAACAAAGATGAATTAATATTGAAAATTGACATTTTTTTTAAGTAACCCATATTTTTTAATTTAAAAATTAAGAGTATATATATATATATATGACATATAATCATAAATTTATTATATCTTCTATTATATTAAAAATTATTTTGTGGTGTTGAGGTTACATTTGGATTTAATATTTGTTTTGTTAGATCAGGATGGTGCAGAACCAAGTGGTAATTCTGTCGCTGCCGGTAACCTCCTAAGGCTGGGCTGTATATTAGATTGCCCAGAAATGAAGGAAAAGGCCAGTAAACTCTTGTCTTCTTTTACTTCAAGGCTTACACGGATTCCTGTGGCCCTTCCTGAAATGGTGTCTGCGCTCATGCTCTACCACGACTCGCCAACTCTGGTACGTAATAGTATCAACATACATGTCTTCTATATTGTTATAATTTTTTTTTCTGTAGATTGTCCCATCATTGACATTGGTTTAGAAAAAACACTTATATAGACGTGTTAAAGTGGCTCTTCCCTTCTTTCTGCAGACAATATTTCCTTGGATCTTTCCTATTCCAAACGATCAACACCCGACACCCTTCCTACATCTACAGTCTCCTACAGTTCAAACCCGTGGTCCACTCCCAGAAAACAAGATCCCGTGTTTCCGACCTTTATATCCCTTCCCATAGAACTAAGACGTTTGAATATTCCTTTATTGCCCGATCCACTGCCTTCTGGAATTCCTTGCATTCTGATATCCGCCATGCCACTTCCTTGTCCTCATTTAAATATCATCTTTGCCAATTCCTTCTCACATCCAAAATGACGTTATACAATGAAATAAATATTGCGAAACAGATTTTGACTGAGGTGAATGGTTGTTAAAATTGATTGAGTTTTAATTTTAAAAATCAACCCATGCTTATTTTATTTTGTTTTCTTTTCATTTAAATAATGTTTTTATTTTTTTTTCAAAATGGTGTTATTTTTACTTGTTTTAATATAATTTTACTGAAGATACTGTATATATTCTTTAATATTGACTAATGTAATTTTTGGCCAGAAATTACACTAGTCAACCTTATCCGAGAGTTTACTTTTTCTCTATCTATCTATCTATCTATATTTGGCAGATAGGTGTAGTATGAATGCAATATTGAAACAACTTTTCTTTTTGTCAGCAAAATTGATATTCATAATTTGCTCTTCTAAAAACGATTTAATATGATTTTATATTATATATTTTTTAGAATTTTTATACCAATCGAAAAATTATAATTATTTGCCCAAGATGTTTTTCTTTAGAGATGGGTATGTAGTTAACTGTAATATAGGTGCTTGTGTGGTCTGCTGACTATGAGCAGCCATAATCCATGAATCTGAACCAATCTGTCACAGTTCTTGAATCCGAGTGAGTTGGTGGGAAGGACACTGCCAGAGGGATCAATTATGGAGCTATGGGTAATCTGTAGCTGCACCATGGAGACCATGGTTCATAACAACGTGATGTTGGGTGACCATCTCCAGGTTATCTGTACTCCCGTAAGCAATATACATCTGTAAGGAGACAACATGTCGAGGCCAAAGGTCTTCATGGTCACCTCATCAAACTCACCAAAAAAATTTTGACTTCACATCATGACATATTTTCATCCTCAAATTGTTTTTATAGGTTGGAGTCTTAGTAAGTTTTAGATGTTTTCTTTTTATGGTGACCTGTAGGGAAAGTTAGAGTTTAAGTTAAAATAGAATATATTGAAAGGTCAAGCGTATAAACTAATTAATTTAATTTAGAATAAGATCTGTAAAATTTATGCAGTTAAAAAAAAAAAAAATCACTTATTTTGTATTCACTTCATTTATTTTATAAAATGCAATCTGTTTTCCTACCAGGTTGTGGTTACCGGAGATATGAGCAAAAGTGAGACTGTAGAACTAGTCCGTGTCGCTCAGAGCAACTTAATCCCGGGCATCGTGCTGGTAACGACCGGGTCTAATCCAGACAACTTTGTCATCACCAGGAATGAGTCTGTGAGGAAGATGAAGAAGCTCGGCGAACGTGAAGCCGCGTACGTATGCAGGGGAAGGACCTGCTCCCTTCCTGTAACGTCTCCTGCGGACTTGGCTGCTTTGTTGAGGATTTAACTTATATCTTAGGTCAGTTAGTTTTAGTTTTATCTTCTTTTTTTGATTGGTGACCACTCGATGTTGATAAGAAGCTTTCGAAGTTACGCCAATAAAACTCTATTTGTAGACTGAATAATGCATCCTAGGTTTCTATTGAAAATCCAAAAAAAAAAAACAGAGAATTATTTAAACCCAGCAAAGAAAGGTAATTTTAGGAATAAATACTGAAAGTTAGACAATTTCCCTGGCTACAGGACGAGTTGTGATTCATAATCGTTATTGGTCAAAATAAATTTATTTAATATTGATTTGTATTAAAATATCCCTGTCATTAATTTTTAATAATTAAAAATAATTCACTTTGACTTTACAACAGCTTGCATAAATTTATTTCTCCAAGTTTTTTCCATATTATAAAAGTCTACAAAAAAACCTGATAAACTTTAATATATTTAATTTGCCTTTTTTCAGTAATTTATTTATTAAAAAAATGTTAAAATTATTTAGTAAAAAATCATTTCATTCCCAACAGAAGGAATTAAAATAGAAAAAGAAAGGAGTTTTTGCTTTGTTATCCCCTTTTAGCAACAATGAGCGGAAGGGATGGAGGTTTCTTGAAGGATGGAATACTTTTCATCACCTCTACTGACCACTTACACATTTTTATTTAAGGTATTGTTCAAAAATGTCCATCATCTACAGTCTCAGAGAAATTACCTACAGCCTCATGGGGAAGCCATGAGATAGTTTGATTGTAGAATTAATCGCTGATCCCGACAGACTCTCAACTTATGTATGACTCCACCATCACTTGGGCCTGCTTTTGTTTCGACTCATATATGAGTCCACCTTCATTAAATGGTTATACAAGCTTATCATGTTTCTATTGTATATTCTTAAGAGGGATTGTTTTAGTTTTTATTAGTTTAGTTTATATATCTTACAAATTTGTATATCATCCTTCTAGCTATCAGCTGTTAGCAATTGAAGGTCTGGCACTTCAGGACTTTTTGTATGCCATGTTGAAATTTTTGGCATATGTGGAAGTCCCCGAACTATGCCCACAAAAGTTTTTTTATTAGATAGTAAAAGCTTTAAAAATATGAAATTTAGCAAATTAGTCACAAATGATGTTACTACAACACTTATTGTTAGATTTTTTTTTTCTTAGATAGCTTATTTCACAGCTGAAGTGTCATTCAAAATTTTTTTTCATCAAAAGCGATGGCCCCTGGAATTGGTTGGACGTCTTAATGCAGCCTTAGGTACTTAGTCGAGGTCTCAAAAAGTTTGGAGGTCTCTGTTCTAGAGTTACAACTAAGCCCCTTCTAACCAAGGTCTGTCATGATTTGTTTTGTGAATTCGCCGCAAAATAAATTTCAACTCTTATAGGCCAAATTTGAACCAGCATCTCTAGACTTGAAAATATTAAAGGAGACAACAGATGCTCAGCTGAAATTTTCCAAAATTGAAAAAAAAAAGACATCCTTTACATAATTTTGCCACCATCTGATACACTCCTCTAAAAATTTTAGTCACGGTCACCTTCTTTATGCTCATTATTTTTTAAAAATTTATTATACTATTTAAAGTTAATGTGTTACAAATATGAAATATTTTGTGCATTTGTTTTATTTATTTATTTGTTTCATTGATTTGGTACTGTTATATTTTAGGCCCTGTCTGTATATGAAAGGAAAGTGATGTGATGAACTAACCAGGAAGGTTTAGTGATACGCACCTTAGATGTCTAGCCGCTTGTCCTAAAATTAATAGTTACCTCGTTTTGTTATTTGTATGGCTAAAAGAAAAAAGGAATTGAAATATTTATGTCTTTTTCCTTTTTTATAAGTGTTACACTAACTTGGATTATTATTTTTATCTCATTTTTTTATTTTCTCTCAGTTAATTTTTTTTTCCAAAAATTATTTTAAATTTCTTCATCGAATTCGCAACATTTTTATAATCCATTATACTGATAACCTTAAGCAATTAACAACTTGCGATTATAATTAGTTAGTGTTATTTTTAAAACCACATTTTCTTTATAAATATTTTTGGTTAAATTTATTTCTATTTGAAAGAAAAGAGACTGAATCTCATTTTCTTGTAATTTTGTACATTAAATATAATTTAATATATTTAAATAATATTATTGAATTTTTAATGTCATATATGCAGTTAATGTAAATATTTTTAATTTAAAAACTAATAAAACTAATCAAAAGGTTCTTTATATTGTATTTATTTTAAGTTTTTATTATTTAAAAAAAATATTTAAAAATTATCAATATGTTAAAAATTAAAATCATGTTTAATATTATTTTCAATGTTATCTTTTGTGATAATCTTGGAACCTGCTTTTCGGGCAGAATTGATATTAATAAAAAGGCTGTAATTAAAGATGGTGATATTGATATATTGTTGTTTTTGTAAGAGACATTAAGGTAATTTATGTATTTATTTAAATAGGTCTGTATGTTTATGTAAATATTAAAAGTATGTTTTTTTTGTGATAAATTCTTCAAAAAAAAATATGTTAGTTATACAATAAATGTTTTAAATTTATTCGTTTTTTTTTATAAATCACAGTTGATTAGCATAGCAACCTAATATTTATTTATTTTTAGTATAAATAATACCTTTAGAATTAATTACTGAAAATGAAAGTTTGGAAAAACTAATCATTTTAAGAACTCCTAAGTTATCCTATTCTAAAGTCAAATATACAGAACTAAGAATCGTGGATATGTTGGAGTATCATTCTTTGATTATATTGCTTGTAATTGTTCCAAAGATAAGCACCTCCTACCATCCTCTGGACTTAACATAATGGTACTGGTATGGATACTAGTGAGGAAACTAATTGGTAAGTTGTAAAATGAAGCCAATTGCACAAATATTCATCCACACCCTTAGAGCTTCTTTAAGCAGTCCAAACAAATGGCAATCACACGGCGATAGGTCCAGGCTTCAAGGATGATCAGGTTGAGTCCTGTGCACTTACTGTATTTAAGTGACCATTAAAGCTACAATATATGACTCTTATACCAGAGAGATATAAATAAAAAAAAAAAAAAAGATGAACTGATTTTAATGAAAGATAACCTTAGTCTTCTCCTTGAACAACTTGAAATTTAAGTTTATAATAAACTTCACCCAAAAGAAGCCGGAAAAAATAATTACAATGTTAACATTGGATATCTGAAAAACACAAAAATTATTAACTTTTTGTTGATATTGTGTAGGGTCATTTGAAAATATATTAAATTACCTACAAAATTTTAAAAATCGTTAAAATCGGACGGTTTGGTTAAAAAATATGTTGTTCCAAATATTTACCAAATGTTCTAAAGCTGATCATTGTTTTGTCTTAAAGAAACTATGACTGATCTTTGTAATTACTAGACAGTTTTTGATGAAATTTTGTTATCGTCAAGGAAATTAGATGTCTTCAAATATATTCTGAACCAAAAAGTGCACACTTTTTATTATTCGCAAATAAAATAAAAGTCTTTTTATGACCGCCATCCTGGACCATCTTCTTATTCATTTAAATTTTGTATTTGTCAAAATTCCTTTTCTAGTCCTTTTTCGAGAAAGTATGTTGTTTACATAAATTTATAGTGTTTCATGGGGAATACTTTAGGAAAGTTTTTATGAATACTGTTACAGCTGTTTCAGTGCTGTAGTCTATTGAGAAACAGATTTTTCCGCTGCTATCTTAAAACAAAATGGCGGTTGGTGATAAGACCCCCAAAGGCACTTCCCCAACACCAGCTTAATATATTTATAAAATTTCAATCTTCCATCTTTATTAGGATCAGCGGAGATGCACAGTACTTTAAAAACAGGGACAAATGTGAAAAAACTTGCATGCCAAAATTTTTCCATAGTTTAATAGTACTGCTCCGCCTGAGAACAAACTCTATATACTGAATTTCAGCTTATTCGGTAAAACATGCCTGTCATTGTCATGCAGGTTGTAATGAATTATCGAATTTATTTTTAATAAATATTAATCGATTATGTGATTTTGGAGGTTGTACTTGGCAACCAGAGAACAAGCTATTTTGATTTATTTTGTAAATATTAAAAAATAGAAGTGTTAATTGAGTTCAGATATTTCTGTAAAATATAACAGAGGTGTATGAATACTCAAATCACTTGATTTTGACATTACTTATTGACCACGTCCACTGCACTTTATGTATTTGTATGCATTTTATGAATTAGGTTAGGAAGAGAGAGGATAGAATCTAGGGAATGAGAAAAATGTATAAGGGGAGAGAAGGAAGAGAAAGGGATATATAATGCTAATAAATGACCGAAAGAAATAGTAAGAAAAATTAAAAAAAAATATATATAGGAAAAAAATTATAAAAAAAAAAAAAAAATGTATATATATATATATATAAAATTGTATACTATGCCCATACATATTGTTAATACTATATAATTGTATATTAGTTTTGGATCATTGTCTGTAGCGATTAATAAGTATGCTATGTTTAAAGCAACCCAATGTAATTGGGCAGCATCCTTTTATGATAATAAAGTGATTCTCTCTTGTCCATTGCTCATTCAAAAAAATCAGATATCAGACAAATACAAATTTTTCGACCTTGACTATGTTTGATCGCATAACTGTGCTCTCAATATCTGGAAAACTACCACTTGTAAGCAATTTTGTAATTATGTGTTGTGTAATGGAGGGATGCATCAGGTATCCTGGATTGGATGTGTGGGACAGTCACCAGATCTTCCCACTCCTAATGGACCCACCTAAGCATACTAGAACGGGTCTGGTCCTATCAACTATAGATAATCAGGAAGAAGTATCCCATTTATATTTGATTCACCCTCTCTCACTAATACAGGAGAGCCCAGAAGGAGGTTTGGTGGCGAAACTTGTCTTGTGCCATCAAAATATTTGAGGGGGCACATTTCAGTGGGGTTATGAATTTTCGGAATAATAAATTTCATTCTAAGGGACATGGGGAAAACGTGGAACAGAGCACAAAAAGTGTAATGGCATATGTTCTACAATTTTTCTAATTCTACCTTCGCTTGCTCTTTTTTTAAGAAAAGGTAAGCAATCAAATATTTGTTAGTGGGAGGATAGATTCTTCAAGTTCTCAATCGAACTTGGGATTGATGGACACCTCTACACACGTACATATGCAGGGTGTTCCGTAAGTAAAGGAAAATTTTTATTGGAGTGATAGCAGACCTCAGGAGCTACAAAAAAGTTCATATAAACAATGGGCCAATTTTCTGTAGAAAAGTAGCAAATCGAAGTATTGTGTTTTTTAAAGTGAATCATGTTTTTTATTAAATCAAAAGCAATAACTAAAGAAATATTTAATTTAAATAAATAATAATTGCTTCATTGTAAACAAGATGAAATTTACTTTAAATGAACATAGAATTTATGATTGTTAAAACCATTTAGAGAGGACTTATGAGCAGCTAGACTAAGCCAAGTTCTGTTTTTAGAAAAATCAAAAATTATTTACCATATTTTTTTTTTCTCATCATCCAAATACACTATAGTTTCTTCAATTTTACAAAAACTTCTTCGTTTAATAAGTTTTAAGTTCATATTAATTAAGTTGAGATTTAGGGGGGGAAACTTTGAGATTAAGCTCAAGCTTTGTAGAAAAAAATTATGATAATTTTTATCCTGTCAAGTGAAACTACACCTGTTTTCAGCAAGAATAACTACAATTAATTTTCGCAAAGCTTTTATTTCTTGGTTTTTCATGGTCTGGGGTGTATTTTAATACACCCAGTTGCTACACATTTATAAAAAAAATTAATTCGAAAAATATTGATTTTGCAAATATTTTTCGGATAAATTGGTTATAAACTGTTTTTCATGCAGATCTCTATTATAGGAATTGATCTGTATTTGTCCTAAAATTTATGTTTAAAATAAAAAAACCTGCTGATTGCTTCAATTATTGTAATTAAAATGTTAATATTATTAGGATCAGGTACATTTAGTTTGACACTTATAAATTTGGATCAATTCCTAAAATAGAGATCTGGATGAAGAACACAGTTTATAACCGATTCACTGGAAAAAATATTTGAAAATCAGTATTTTTCAAATTAATCTTTTTAATAAATAAAATGTGTGTTTAGGCAATTGGGTTTATTAAAATACATCCAAAGATCATGGAAAAACAAGAAATAATTTTTTTGCAACAATTGATTCTAGTCATTTTTGCTGAAAACAGCGGTATTTTTACTTGACAAGATAAAAATTATAATTTATTTTTTTCAAAACTTGAGCTGAATCTCAATTTTTTCACTAATAAACCTCAACTTGATTAATACGAACTTAAAGCTTATTAAACGAAGAAGTTTTTGTAAAAGTGATGAAACTGTAGTATAGTGTAATAGTGTAATAAAAAAAAAGAAAGGCAAATAATTTGATTTTTCTAAAAACAGAACTTAGCTTAGTTTAGCTGCTCAAAAGTCCTTAGTAAATGAAATAAAAATATTTTTATTATCCTGGAACTGTTATCCCTTTAGAAAAAAGTATAAATACTGAGAAAATGCCTGTGTGGCCATACATTAAATTAAATATTTACAAAATAATATCTGATTAAAATATAGGAAGAAAAAATAACAAAAAAAAAAATATATATATACATATGTACATATATATAATAAACAAATGAAAATAAAATAACACAAGTAAACAACATGATTTCTGGGTGATCTTAAGAAGTTCTCTTATGTACATTTCGTGATCAGTTAGATTGGGAAAGGAGTAGGTGCTTAAAAAGGAGAGATTTAAATGAGGAAACTGATTTTGCATGTCGGATATCGGAAGGGATAGAATCCCAAAAGGAGACGGCTTGATTACAAAGGATTTGTCAAACGCAGCAGTTCGGTGAGAAAAAAGATAGAGGTCAGAAGTAAGGGATCTGGTGGGACAGGATTTAATGAAAGATTTGAATTATAGTCTTGAGATTCCAAAGACAAAACATATCAAGCAATTCATTTGGCGTTTAAGTTTGGCTTCGAGTTCTGCCGGGAGTCCACCGTAAACCATACAACCATAATTGAATTGGGGGAAAACAAGAGAGGAAACCAGGAGTTGATGGATTTTGGATGGAAGAAGATAGGGTTGATTGTTGAACTGTTTTAAGGTAGAAATAGTACTAAGGGAAATTTGAGAGATGTGTGGTTTCCAGGACAGAATTTGTTCAAAAATAACACCAAGATTTTTAACGGAAGTTTGAAACGAAATAGGTGAGTTGTTTAGAAGAAGATAGGGTGGTACAGGATTGGATTTTATGAGTGTGGGGTATAAGGATAGCTTTTGTCTTCATGGCTTTTAGGATGAGCCTATTGTGGTTTGCCCAAGCACAGATTCTGTCTATATCTTTTTGAAGTTGTGGGATCACTGCATTGGAATCAGTCGGATCGAAGGAAAGGTTTTTTTTTTTTTTTTTGTTTAAACTTTTATTATGATATTTACAACTGTATTAGTATGAATACATCAAGTAAATTTGTACAGAGAAATATCATTACATGAAACACGCTTGTTGAGAAACTACCCACTGGTAGCACTCTAATAATTTGTCTACATGAGAAGATCACGAGGCCATTTTCTTTTCAGATGCCTCGGAGGGTTATCAGGAATCGAAGAGGAAGCAAGGTTAGAAACAAGAGGATTCGGATGGTTATGAAGTTTATTATGGAAGGATAGGTATCTGGATTTGGCCAAATCGGAAACATATGGAACATTGAGGTCTTTATGGATTATTTTATTAGTGACAAAGTAAGGAGCATTGAGGATTTTACGAAGGATTTTGGATTGTAAGGATTGGATACGAGAGGAATTTGATGGTTTAGTGGAGCCCCATAGCTCAAGGAAAAATTAAATACATAAACATGATTTTTATAAATAACATTTATTTTCAATATATACAATACAATTAATAGATTTGGGCAATTTTTGACTTGAAAACATCAAAGCTGTAAGCTCTGGTTGGCCTGTCGTCAATAGATACATACATTTTCATCAGATAGCTCTCGTTGGGAAACAACGAAATGAGGAGCATTATAATCATTTAGTATTTATCCATCACAGATTGGACCCTTACAAATAAGGTGTGTCTGAAATAACTATCAGAGATAAATATATTACTCTTATTTTTTTTTCTTTAATTCAAAATAATTTCAAACCAAATTATATATACATTTACTCTTTATAATGCCATATTATATAATATACTATAGAAAATATAACTTCTATATACAAAAAACACTTTAAATTAATTACAAATGGCAACTGTATTGCACTTAAAATAAAACAATTTTAAAAAATCAAATCCTCAACTGATGAGATGATTGGATCACCTACCGTTATGCAAAGACCTTAAAAACTAGTTAACAGCCGATAGTGTCACTACATAAATATATATATATATATAATATATATTATATATACATATAACTATAATTGCATTGTTCTAAAGCACAAAAACTAATCAAATACAATCTATCCTAATGAAGTATTTTCAGGAGGAAGATTTTCCAAATTATAGTCCCTTTAGAGATCTTTAGTCAGCAAAACTTATTGGACGGTGACTCATGTAACGACAGAACTTTTTCAATTTAAAAAAAAAAAGAAATTAAAAACTGTCATGTCCAGAAGAATTGTCATTGATTTTGAAAATATAAAATTAAATTTAACGAAGAATAAGAAGTCTTGAAATTGGAATGGTCAGTTAACAATATCGATCAAAACGAAGCAATTCACGGTACTCTATAAACATTAGAACTATCATTTTATTATGTATACATATAGATACGTTGGTGTTTAGACAACTTTCTTCAGCCATCTTTTTTACCATTTAGAGTAAAATTATCCAACAAATTAATAGCCATCAGACAGTCTTATTTATACCACTTATATTATTAAGTTGGGAGCAGTCTCTTAATTAAAACAAGAAAATAGGGTTTGTTCACTGCATTGCTGTACTTCTTTCGAATCATCAAAAAGCTCTGTATTTGTCGGAAGAATTGTTCAAACATATGTTATTAAAATTTTAAATCCAAATTGAAGGTGTAGGATAAATTAATATAGTTTTTTATTTATTACAGATATTAACCATTAAGACATTATTTAATCAATTAATTTAATTTAAATTTTTGTAAATAAGATTCGAAGAAAGTACTGTGTCAGTGGCCGATAGAAGAGGACAAAAATAACACAGGATAAACGTTTAAGGAGTGTCGTTGATTTGACTATAAGTAGGCCGAATGCCTCGAACTCTGCTCTAGAGCGGCGAGGACGTCATGCTTCTGCCTCACATACAGGCGCCCTTTCTTCCAGGGGTTTTGCAGCTGGAGAGGTTTGAAGTCATCACGAAGACAGCGTTCCCTCGCACCGATGACGGCCACGAGGCAAAAATTGGGCAGCTGTTCGGAAGAATAGATAGGCCCTTCCTTCCCTTTTAGAACCACTGCCATGTTGAGCTGCTTTACAACTAGGTCCACGACTTCTCTCGCAGTAGTACGAGGGCTGACGTGGATCTTGAGACTTGTTCCTGCAGCAAGTCCGGTCTCATAAGCTGCATAAACCTGAAAATAAACAAAATATAAAACAAACTGTAGATATTTGCTGTTATCTATTTAGTTTATTTTGTAATAGAGAAATTCGGAGACAGCTTTAAATAGGGATAAAGAAGGATTACATCTATAGCTCTAATATAGGAATACATTCATTCATAAATACATTTAGATTAAAAAATATATGTGAACTTGTATATTTTTTTATGGAAAACTTCAAACTAGCAACTTCAAATTGGTACTAATGAATAGAGAAAAGACTCTAGTTTATTTACTTTTTTTTTCTTCTAAGCCTTGAACAACCTTCTTTGATAATTTATTTTATGTTTCATATAATTTAAAAACAAAAAAGCATTTTCAATTTTATGTATTTGTAGGAAATTTTACATATCTTTGTCCATATTTAGTGAAGAAAGACAGTTTATTAATAAAATTACAAATATTTGAAAAATGTAAAAAAAATTATAAGAATGTAAAGAAGCACAACTCCGAAAATTTCAGAAACTTTAAAATTTCTTATTATTGAAAAAAAAAAAAGAAGAATCAGTCATTGTAAAACATGAGCAATTACGAATTAAAATAAAAAAAGCTTTTGATACACATACAATATGAGGTGTCGCTATTAAATAATGGGACTGATGCTGTAAAATCCCCTCCTCCACCTCTACAATGCTCCATGCTAATCTTCCATTGCCTGGAACAGTGCTCCAGCATTAAAGACGTCCAAATCATATTCTGTCAGCTCCTTTAAAACACATGCCACTTTCTCTTTCCCAGCTTCAATGAACTGAAATCTTGTTCCTTTTAATGCAGAATGACGAACAATTTTTGAACATATGGTTCTAAAACAAAGCGCTAATTTATCTACCAGAAGACCCTAACTTCATTGAGAGTCAAAAAATCTGGAATGAACCAATCAAAATTCAAAGCAATGATGATTGCCTTTTTCGATATTAATGGGATTGTACATCTTCACTGGATTTATGAAGGTTAAACTATTAATCAATATTGTTGAAACCGCCCGACGTTTTCGACTACTGCAGCACTTATTAGACAAACGCTCTAAGCTTTCAATCAATTACAAACGACTCATATATATGACAATAATAAGACCTATTTGGACTTACGGAATTGAGCTTTGGGGCTCCACTAAACCATCGAATTCCTCTCTTTTCCAATCCTTACAATCCAAAATCCTTCGTAAAATCCTCAAAGCTCCTTACTTTGTCAAAAATAAAATGTTTTAGAGTATCAGTCATATTATTTAAGAACAACACCTCCTATTATTATTATTATTATGTTAAAGAATGTAAATGAAGTTTTTTAAATCCAGCAGATTTGGAGTTGTGCCCCTTTCTTTCTGGATGTTCAATATGTTGATGTTGATACACTATTTCATACCTGGAGGATCCCAGGAGATGGCGCTGGGACTGTCGCTCCTTCTTCTCCTTCACTCTTGCTCTTGCTGATCACCCCAGAGTCATCTGAGGACAGTGAATAAAGACTTCCACTTCCATACCTTAAGGAAATGAACAAAATAAATTTGAATCCTAAACTCTTTTAGATATATATAAGTATATATTTTTGTTAAATGCTAGGGGTAATTATATGATTTTTCAAGGTTCTCTATATTATTTTCTATGTTGATTTGATTATTAACAAAGTATTTACATTTTTTATCTTGATAATAAAAAATAGACGGCACCATTTACAAGCATGGGCCAACTCTGAGCCAAAGATTCGATGATTTAGGTCATTCTGAATGATAATATTTATTTTTAAGGCTCATTATCTTTTTTAGATCAACATCATTTTTTTTTTGTAGAATTATATGAATTTTAAAACTTTATGAATTCATTAACATCAAATGGATTTTTTTTGTTGAAGTCTAATTTAATTTAATACTATTTGGAGAAACAATATAAATTCAGAAAAACACAAGTGCCATTTATTACAATTTCAAAAACCAAACAAAAAAAGTTTTCATAATTAAAAGATCTGCCAATCAATAATGTGCCAATTACAAGTATCAATTCAAAATTGATAAAAGATACAGGCGCTGTTGCCAAAATAACCAATTTTATTGTTTATGTTTAAAAATTACTTTTTGCATTAAGATGGAAAATATAAACAGACTTTCTTTGTATTCTATCATTAAAAATAAAAATATAGTATTATTTGTCAAGAAAATATATAAATCCCAAAAAATTTCAAAACACTTTAACCTAATTGATTTGAGATCTTGTCTCTGACAGGCACCAGGTAGATTGGAGAAATATGAAGAAAAAGATGTAAACTAAATAAAATAATTGTAAAAGCTTGTGATCAGAGCATATGTTAGAGGACCATCAATAGGAAATTACTCAAGAGGTTTAGTTAATCAGTATCTCATGACAAAAAAGGAAAAAGATTAGGGCATCTTTATGCAGCAATTATGTATTAAGAGTTCAAGATGAACAAAGATATAACAAAAATATATTATCTATCAAATTTGAAAATAATAATTCCTTAATTAAGGAAAGATCTACAAAGATAAGATAATTTGTGAATATATCTGTCTGTATGTTAAAAAAAAAAAGAAATAAGTAAATTCATTCATGACTGTTGATACCTGTTACTGAGAAAAAGAATCCATCTGATCAGATTAAAAAATATATATACCAAATCAATATATTTAAAGAATATATCTCTACAGGATGTTAATATGAAAAATCAAAAAGAGGCAAGAAAACACTATTAGCATATAATAGAAAGTTTCTAAACCCAAAACCTTGAGCCTCTAAAATATCAGTTAACAACGAATCCACTATCTGGATTGTCGATTCAAGAAATAAGAGCAGAAAAACAAAGGACATCTCACAACAATAGTCTAAAAAATACTATTATTATTTTATTTGGCTATTAATTCTACCTCAATCATTCTATATTTATTATTTGTTATTTACCTCTTTGAAATAAAAACCATGTAGTAGTGGTTAAATTATAAGAATTAGTAGATAAATAACAATTAAAAAATATGTATTATTTTTATTATTATTTTTTTTTGCCTTAAGACTTGTCAAAGCAAGTCCTATTTAGCTAGTACATTAATATGCTTCTTAATTAATTAATTCTATGATTCTGATTGATTGATTGATTCTTAATTAATTCTATGATTCCGAAATGCAATTATTATATGTGAAATTTATAATGTTTATATTAAATCTAAAAATTCTAAATTAATAGTCTTAAATTTCGTAATGGCTATGTTAACTTGGACTTCTAACTGGAACGAATATAATAATTTAATAGTTTTATAGGCTTACAGAATTTTTATTGAACTTACATATAGGTTTATGAATCTCAAAAGAGCACAAGGGGCTTATATATGTCAATTTATCTCTAATAGGGAATTTGGCATTAATAAGATGGACCTGATTTTGATTCGCAGTTTTGTCTACCATCTCATTTCCGGATAACATATCCATTGAAAACAATTAGACAAATAGTTGAAACATCAAATAAGAAAGGTAAACAGATAAAAAGTGTGAAGGCTTATTATTAAAAAATTCTCCCAAAGAATTTAAAATTGAAACACGGTATTTCACAGGTATAACACCCTGAGATGTTGACAAGATAATGTCCAATATCCTGCTAAACAGGTAGATTGTAAATATATAATAGACAACAGCCAAGCAGGATTTAGGAGAGGAAGGAAGCACACTAGACCAGATCTTCATCTTAAACAGGTGTTTGGAAGTAGCTCAGGATGAATTAGCCTGATTTGCTAATGCCAAAACAGCCTATAATTCTGTGGAAAAACCTATAAATCTGTCTTTGGAAGATCAAGATTGAGCTGAGAGTTACTGAGAAATTGATTAAAGAATGTACAAATGATCTAAATAATGAGTTCTACTACCTTCAAAGTTCGAATTTGTGACATAAAGATGGCCTCTTGCTATTGCTGTCCAACTTAGCACTGGAGATGGTTGAAAATGGAAGAATGCTACTCGAAATGAATCATAAAATCATAGGAAATGTATTGAAGAGAAGGATAGCGTAGTCTGTCTACGCTTGTTTATTGAGCAGCCCTGATGAAGGCCTGAACTTTGTGCCGAAATGTCAGCAAATGTGAAAATAAATACAATTATTTATTTTTACTTTTTTATTTTGACTTATCACCCAAACCATTCTTCTCTTCAATTATTTACTAGTCAACCATCAGCCAACAATCATAGGAAATGTAGTTAATATAGCCGTCCTCGGAAACAATCAAGAGAACACTGAGAGACTCACTAAGATTCTGATTGAAAAATCAAATCCAATTGATTTACAAGTAAACGATGATAAAATAAAATATACGATAATAACTTGTAGACAGATTCGAATACCTCAGCTCTAGAACAGCATCCATAAATCAACAATAGTAAAGCTAGTTCTGAAATATGGTTGGGTGAATAGGACTGTAAACAGCATGAAAGATTTGAGAGGAAAATCTGTGACGTGTAACTGGAGTGATGTGGGATCAGAATAAGGTTATGAAGAATAGGATAAAAGAGAACAGGACCAATAAAGAATTACTTACAGAAACTTGGCAATTACTTTATCATGATATGAAGCCACGGAGGTTAAGATGGACAAAATAAATTGCTCAAAGCAATCTATAAGGAAGCCTCTACACAGAGACCATGTCAGAGGTTAAAAAACAGATGATAGAGAGAATTTACAAGGATGCTGCAAGGCAGTATACATCAAACTGGAGAGCAATAGTCCAAGGTTGATAGAGGTGGAGAAGCCTGAATTAAAGGTGGTCAAAGATCAACAAGATTTAAACCCAACAGAAAAAATAACAAGGTATTTCATTAATCACAATAATTATTAAGTATGTACTTTTATGTTTTAGAGTGATGTTCTGTCACTTGTGGATGTGTCTATTTACTTTAACTTATTTAGACTGTTGTATTTTGCTGCATGTATTTCATCGTTATATTGATTAAGGCTTAGTGTTAGGCATCTTCCAATTATATCTTGATAGTTAATTAGAAGCTTTAAACAAATTAATTTAAATTATATATTAGTTTACAAAGCTATAGCAAGCAAATATAATAGCCTTGATTTTACTTTAAGACATGCAGAAATAGTCGTGATTGACAATACTTCGAAAATACTATTAGTCATCAAGAAAGGAATTCTGCCAATAATTAAAAGCTTGTTATTTATTCATGTGTGAGCTATTTTCTATAATGAGAGAAAAATAATGTAAGTTCTCTTATAAGTGATTTAAAGTTTGTATTTAGCAGCGATAAAATGTGAGTTATTAAAATCAAATAATATATCAACAACTCACCCCGGTCGTATAGAGAGGAGGGGAGAAGTAGTTGCAGATGTACTAGTCCGATTCCTGGAATGTGCAGCCATAACCCTTGTGTGCAAAGCTAATGTGTCCTCCGATTTAGAAGGCGGCAATCTAGGTTGCTCTAATAAAAGTGCTGTATAACAGCAATGCAGAAAAGTGATTTTAGTGCTCTTTCTTAGCCATGTGAGAACTTAAGTTATAAGTTGTATCTTTGTTTTACCTGGAGGTGAGAGAGGTTTGGGAGGTGGTAGCCGCAGGATTGGCGGTGGAGTGCTTGTTCCAGAACAGCTCAACTGATGCTCACTTCTTGACAATTCTGTCGTCGCTGCTCCTAACAGTCTGCTAACTCCAGGTCCTGGCCAAGATCCTCTAGACTTTACTGCTTTTGTTGTGTCAGGTGGCAAGAGCAACTGTACAAATATAATTCGAATTGTAAATAAATTATAGATGAAAGAGAATTGATTATTTCACATAAATTGTGAACTATATATAATCATAAATCACTCAGTATTATTTTATTATACTGGCTGAAATGGTTTTAATAAATGACCTATTTTCTGGGCTAACAATAATTTAGAGAAACTATAAATGTAGATACAAATAAAGATGACAGAAATAACAAGAAAATTAATTAATACTACCAAATTTTAACTTCAGTTTTTAATCAATTTAGATAAAAACTGAAATCTTTATTTTCCATTTTGGTTTTTTGTTATTTTGGAAATAAAACTTCTTTAAAACTTTTATATATAAATAATCTTTATTTAAAAGTTATGTTGAAACAATCATTTCACTCAAAAAAAAGTTTCTTGACAGTTTCAACCTCTGTATAATAATAATAATAACCTCCTCCAAAAAGGTAGTCTCAAGCTATACTGGGATGAATCGATTATAACTGACCATACTGTGCGTCACAATAAACCAGACATCCTTCTGATAGACATGAGAGAGAAAAGAGCAGAGCTTATTGATGTCGGGATCCCCAATGATAATAATATAAGCTCCACTGTTGGAGAAAAACTGAGAAAATACCAGGAATTGGCAATCGAACTGAAGGAATTGTATCATTTGGGAAACGTCACCACCACTCCAATTATAATATCCTCCAATGGATTGATACCAAAGACAACAGTGGCAGGCACGATGGGATTAAAATTATCTCTTGAAGTGCTGAAAGAGGCTCAACACTCAGTTCTCTTGGATACGGCATGTATTGTTCGAAAGTTTTTAAATATCTAAAAAGTAATAGATATTAATCTGAAGTGGCTGGACTTGTGGTCTCCCACCTCAGGAACTTACCCCGCAAAGCGAGAATAAAGAATGGAAATAATAATAATAATAATAGAGATGAAAGTTATAATAAAGATAAGAGTAAAAATCTAGTGCTAAATCACATGATTTCCACTCACCACCTTCTTCTTAGCAGAAATAAGTATTTTCAAACAACTATTTATTTACATTTCATTATGGGTATTCTTATTTGTTTAAATACCCTTATGTTGTACAAATTTTAATTTTTATATCGCTGTATTCTATACAATTAAATATTAAATAATACCAACGATAGCATTTATGAAAACAGCATATGTATATATAAATAATATTGTCGGATTCCGTATTATATTAAGCTCATGTTATGTATGGAAGCCTGTTGTAATATTTCGGGCTAGCTCGGGTGCGCTCGCATTCATTTGATTCCTCTATTACAACTATTATCTGTTACGATCTCTTATTTTTTCTTTAGTTAATTATCAAATTCTTTCATATTTTATATCTAACTATTTTTTATGTCAAAGATTAATGTGAAATAGTTAATTATTTCAAATAAACAAAATTAAAGGTACTTTAGAGGAAGATGATATTGAAAATTAGCCATTTAAGTCCTGTTAGAGGACATCAATTAGAATAAAACCTACATTATATTAATGAATGCTTAATAATACACTGATATACTGAGCTTTCTCAAAATCGTTAGAGCCGTTTTTGAGAAAATCATAAAAATGTATTAAATTATATTAAGTACCACTTCTGGTATGCCGACTTTGATGAAAATATTGCTGTAATCGAAGCCTTATTAAAACCTTAATAATTCAATTTCATTTTTATACAATTTGAGTTCTACCAATGGGTAGTTTCTCTTCATGTTGTACTACATGTCATGTTACCAATGTCACATTTACTTGTTGTATTTTTCATGTAATACAGTTGTAAATTTCATTAAAATAAAAAATGTTTATACGACTTTTCGTTTTTGAGCTAGACTGATAACACAAACACACACACATACACCCTTTTGCTGGACTTGTTTATTTGGATTCAGGAGACCTAAAAATATGTATTTCCGTTGAAAACTGAGATTCCAAAATTTTCATAATCGCAATACTTACTTTCACTATATATTGTATATATAAGTGAAAGTAAAAACAGAAAAAAACTGAAGAATTATATAAACAAAATAGAACTACTTACGCCATTGTGAGATCCTATGCTGTCATGTGATCTCTTTGGATGAAGTGAAAGTAAATGCCTAATTATATTCGTTGGTGTTTGACTTCCTTTATCTCTAGCAAAAGCAAGGACGTCTAAAAGCCATCTTGCCTGTTTCCAAGCAGCATTTATCTGAGCTTGGAGTCCTTCTAGCCTCGTTAGCCTTTCCTTTGCAGCGCTAACTTCAGAACTAGAGAAAGCCTATAAAAATAAATTAATAAATAAGCAAATATAAAATACACTAAAGTTATTATTTGCTTAAGTAATGTTGTTTACCTCCCGATGACTGTGCTGTGCTAATGCAGTATCCAATTCAATTATACAGCTTAATCTTGAATATCGAGCAACTAGTTGTTTATGGTATGTCCCCAAGTGCACCATTTCAAAAACCTTAAAGCAGATTATAAGTTTTTATAAGAATCATTGAATATATATATTGGCAACAATTTTTATTAATTTATGAAAGTAATTATAAACTATTAATTTTTATTTTCAAATATTATGTTAGTTTTCAAGAACTTTACCTGGACAGGAAGAGGAATGAGATCAGGTCGTTGTAAAAGAATCTCTCCTTGGCCAGGCGCTGAGCAGGCTGATTCCGGTGGTGGGGCTACGATGAGTAGGCTCACATCAGGGCTGACTTCTACAACTTCTGCATCATATAACCTGTGGAAACAATTCATAAGTTACTTCTAATTGTTCATTCATAATTCATCCATTCATAGTTAAACTGTTTATTATTGAAAGAATTAAAAGTAAATTTTATTCTGGTATCTTATAAGTTAATGTTTCATCAAAGCCTGGCTATTTTTCTTTCAAACAATTTTTTTTTTTTTTCTCTGGACTTTATATGAGTCTATAAAAGTTATTGATGATGTTTTAAAACCCACCTATGGTTTTGAGCCTGGTCACTGGACACTTGCATGTACGTCAACAACCTATTCACAGTGGCAGCAACCTGCTCTACAAAAGTTTTCTGCTGTTCATTCTGCGATTTCTCACCCATATCGTAATGAACTGTTAAACTTTCCCATTCTTCTCTGAAATGATTAAGTGAAAGAATAAATTACAGAATTTAAAATAATAAATTACTTTTAATCATTAAACAAAAATATTCCATTCTTACGCAGTAATGTGAGGGTTGTCCCTTATTTTGCAGTGTGGCGGAACATTTGGTGCTTTAGCTGGTACCAAGACCTGTAAAACGTCGACACAACTCCTCATCTTTAAATATCCGAGGTACAGTCCACGTGGCAATTTAATACTGCTCACTTGGTGGTAGGTTATTTGGTCCTAAGAAAAACAAAACAATATATCAGCCTGAAGTATAATAATTAAAATATTAACAGTTAGATATATCATTAAAAAAATATATATTCTTCTTTTGTTGTTAAGGTCTGTTGGGAACTTTAGCTCCTTCCACAATACTCCTCCACTCATTTGTGGATCTGCTTCCTCATCATCCTTCCAGAATAATCTGGGCCTCCTCATCTCTCCTTTTTCTCCCTCAGCAGAATCTTCACTCAGGTGTATTTTGTGGGATTCCATTCTCTGAACATGATCTTACTGAGTTTTTGCAATACACTGACGATATCATTAATTGATAAATGACAGTGCAGGCCTTTGAGACTGGCAACACAGACAAGTGTCCAGGGGTGCTGACAATCATCTGAACTTCCTTCCTTGGTAGTGAATCTTTAACTCAAGTGAGTTAAATGATGAATTTAGATTATCCATGAATCTTGATGCTTAATCGGATCTATATTTTTCTAAAATTCTTCTTTCTCATCAATTTAAAGTAGTTTCATTCCCTACAGTGAGTATCCATTACTTCATATTCCTTATAGTAATAACTTTTCTCAGATATTTAAATTTAATAACATTTTTAAACTGGTTTTCTAACATGTTTCTCTCTTTAGAAGTAATCAAATATTTTGGTTTTAATTTGATCATGTGGAGGAAAACTTCTTTGGCCCTCCCATCACATTCTGTTAATGCTCAAATTTAAATATTTTTGGTTCTTCTGGTAATTCCTATGTTATCTCTAAAGACATGGCCGGGGAGATTTCGGGATTATTGCCATTTAATTGCAAAAAGTCACCAGGTACATTTGTTATGTAGTTGAACTTTTTTTGAATTTTAACTTTATTTATTCAGCAAGTGCACTAAAATGATGAAAACTCTATTATACACCATCAATAGTTACAATGACAGCAAAATTGTATGATTTTACAAAAGGAAACAACCAAAATTCTTACCGATTTTAAGGCTGTGAAATGTCACTTACTGACTTTTTTCAATACACTGATGATATCATTAATTAATAATTGACAGTGCAGGGGCCTGGCAACTCTGGCAAATAGCAACCTAGAAGTTGGCCTCTGCCAGTCGTAAGGAATAAAATCTTTTTAAATTTATTTATTATTGTTACTAATTTTTTTTATTAAGTAATATAATATTTTGTCACATTGAAAATGGTTATAATGAGAAAATAAAGGAATAAATTATTAACCGTATGAAAATAATTAATTTTAGCCTATTAATAAAGCAACTGAAATAGAGAAATATTGAATGAAATAAAATTCAAACATTATTTATTATAAAGGAAGGAGATGGTCGGGGGTCATAAATAGGCTAAATAGTGGTAAAACTATTTTATAGAAAGCCGATGTTTCGACCCGACTTTGCAGGTCTTCTTCAGGGCATCCTTAGCTAGCGATGTACCAGCACCAGGAACACTGCTTTCCAACCCTCCTCCTCCATCCATTATGGAGAATCGTTTTGAGTCTTTTCTTCACACATTCGAAGCTAGCAATGGGGGCAGATACTGCTCACCAGCTCAGAATATGTAAAGCTTTGAACGTGTGAAGAAAAGACTCAAAACGATTCTCCATAATGGATGGAGGAGGAGGGTTGGAAAGCAGCGTTACTGGTGCTGGTACATCGCTGGCTCAGGATGTCCTGAAGAAGACCTGCAAAGTCGGGTCGAAACGTCGGCTTTCAATAAAATAGTTTTACCACTATTTAGCCTATTTATGACCGCAACCCTAGACCATCTCCTTCCTTTATAATGCAACGGTCAACTATTAAATATTCATTATTTATTATAAAGCATCTTAAGAACTAATTTTATGTTTTAGGGAGCGATAACGTCATTGCCCAAGGAAGCCAAATGCTTAATACTGACAACTGTAACAGTATTTTTCTATAAAATAAATTAAAAAAAAAAAATGTTGTACTTACTGGAATAGAAGCCATAAGAATATCACTTAGGTTTGCTTCTGAGGCAAGATTGTGCGTCCTTTTATTGAGTTTACCAAGTGGTATCCACCGAGAATTGAGGACAGATACGGCTTTTGGAGATCTCACATAATTTACAGTGCATATTACAATTGTGCCTTCTGCATCTCTCAGTGGCTTATGATATAGCTGTCCTAGATCCTGGACACTTAAAGCAGTCTAAAAAATAGAATAAAATTTATTTTAATAAATATTTTTATACAATACAATTATATATTAGAAACATTTAAAACTATTTCATAAATATTAAATTTGTTGATAATTCATTATTAATCATAATGAGAAATTTTCTCTTACTTGCATGGCGGTAGCTGCTTGCAGCAACTTGATTCTGAAATGTACTCCTGGTGAACTTAAAGACTTCTCCATATCTTGCCTCAACCATTTAACGTCATCCCACGTGCATGCGATCTGAAAATGTAATATAATTTTGTCAATTGTTATAATAATTTAGAATATGAATGAATTTGTTGTACAGTTTAACACAATTTTACCTTTAACAGCCAATGAAAGTCATGGTAAATTGAACCGGGATAAGTTTCATCAACCTCTATAACTGGAAGGAAGTCTTCGTTGGTTAGTAATACTTTGTCTTCATTGTATAACAAACATGAAAGATATACACCTCTAAAAAAAAAAAAAAGTGAATGAATCAAATCTGTCTTTAATACTGCAAGTAATTTCAATAAAAACATTTCATATTTCAAGATGAAAAAACAAATAATATGAAAATTTATTGCAGAAATGATATGAAATTATTATTTTAGAAAAATCTCTACATGTATATAACATAATTTAATAACGAATAACATTGGTTAGGAAGTTAAATAGAAGTTCCAGTCACATACATAAACACAAATAAAAATAAAGAATTTTAAATTAATTTTGTGAGGAAGTTTCAGGTATTCATCAGGGCTGAGGAAATATAAGTTAACAACAACTAAACAAAAATAATGACAAACCTATTATAAAAATATATTAAATAAAATATATGTTCTCTGATAATATTATCAATAACGTTATGATTATATTAATATAATGATTTAGCTAATATCAATATTAGCTTATTTATAAGCAAATAACATAAATTTTGTTTTCATATCTTTTTATAATAGATTTGTAATAGTTTTTGTGTGATTGTTATCTTCTTTCCTCAGTCCTGAATAAAATAAATTTAAATTTGAGTTTCTCATTGTTGCTGTAACCCCCAAATAACTTCCCAACAATATTATCTACAACAATTTCTTCACCATTAATAAATATATTTTTTTCCAAAAGGGTTACCTTCGAAGGTGTTTTTGGAACTTTGAGGCAGCTGTGAACAATTGCTTGATGGTAGTTTTCTTTCTCCTTTCACCGGCTGATGTTTCTTGAAGTGCTTTGATGTCAGGCCTTCCTGTCCGCACTTCGCTAAACAACTTATCCAACTGAGCCAGTCCCTCAGTACAAACCCTGTCTTCTCTTTTCACAACGTCCCTCCAGCCTTAATTAAAATAAGTTATCATTAATATTAAAATATACCTGGTGAAAAATATATTTTTATTTTATAAATAAAATGGTATAACTTACTCGATGGTATGACAGATTGAGGAGTAGCAGGTCTAGGATGACCCCAGCCACGAATGTTGCCACAGCTTACTCTAAAATAATATTTCTGACCATGTGTGAGTTCATCTATCTGGCACTCTTGTTGCCTTGGATCCAATATTACTCGGAAACCTGCTAGATTTCGGAATTCACTCTCAGTGCTCCATTCAACTAAAAATAAAAAAATCAATGATTTTTAAATTGTCAACATAATAATAGATAGTCAACATAATCGTAATAAAAGTATCTAATTAGAAACAGCGAGTTGCTTTGATTCTTATCATCTCAACAACTCATAACCATAAATGATCATTAATTTGAATTTGAAATATTGCATTTCCTTAATACGAAATTTGAAAATTTATTGACATTTCAAGATTTAATATTTACATTTAATGTTCTAAATCAGTTCCAGAATCAGTTCTAAATCAGATCCAGAATTTGATATTGTTTTTTTTATTTTTTTTTTTATTTTGTCATAATGGTAATTACTCTAGAAGAGAAGAAACAAACTATATAAAATAATGTTTAAATGGTCCTTGAAGACATATTAAAAAACAAACTGTTAATTACAGAAACAACAATGCTTTTAAAGATTATTTTTAATTATTTGTTTTTATCTATGCTTACATAGTTGTGTAAACAGTATTACATAGCTAATATCTGTTTCTGCATTATAATTTAAAAAGAGAACCTATTGTGATTGTTTAAGTATTTACCATAGGTAAATATTTAGCATACGCTTACATATTCGAAACTCCCTCCCCCCTTCCTATTGGATAATTATTTTTTATATTTATATAGCTGAGATAATGTAAAATATTTATATGAATCTTTTTTTTTTTTTTTTTGTAGTGTCCTTCCCTTCCTCGCCATTAAAGCTATAAGGGGAATTTCCCGGGCCAGGGGGTGTGAGCAGGGATTTAAAATACTCCCCCGGCACCGGGATGCGAACTCGTGTCTATTTTTATATATTTGATTCATTTATCAGATTGCCAGGCAACGGCGGTGCAGTGCACACGCGTTAGCCCATTCGGCCACCCCGCCCACAAAAAAGAATTATTTATATGAATCTAATAAAGTACTTACTTTTGTATTTGGTACAAACAGGTGAATCAGAACTGTCTGGTTCTTGGTAACGTACGTTAACAGAATGGCTCCCTGTTACATCTACAGCAACTAGTGATGGGATATCAGGTGGCCCTAAAATATTTTTTAAATTAGAATTACAATATTATATATATTTTATGTATCTAAATGTAATTAAAATATTATATTTTCAAATGTATACTAATTAAAGTACATACGTGCTTGTGTAAAGCCCGAGATCATGTTCCCTATTCCCTTGGCCCTTCTCTGCCATAATCCATGGTTTCGGGCATCTTGACCTGAGAGTTCACATATTCGCTGGTTTGCCTCGCAGTTCAAGTTTTTCAAATGGCACAGCAGACTCTCACCACTTGAAACTACGCATAATTTTCTCATGAAATTTAAATGAATAAAAATAGCAAATACAGACATTACAAAAAAATTAATATTTAATTAATTAATAAATTAAAATAACAGAGAAAATTGCAGTAATTGCTCTCAGATCCTTATGACTTTTAATTTTACAGATGTCATATGTTATATATAAAGTATACTTACATTCATTCCCTTCTTGAGCACCAAATGCGATGAGCATTTTAGCGAGTAAGCGATTGTTGCTGAGAACAGCAACATCAAGAGGTGATAATCCATCACTATTAACTCTGAAAAAATAGATTAGAGAGTTGATTTATTTATTATAATTTTTCACAAATAAAAACAAAACATACAAATTGCATTATTAGTTCTAAATAGTTTAAAATTGTTGGGGAATTCAACAAAATTCAGTATTAATGCGTAGGTGATAAATATTCAGGATGCAGTCTTTTTTATAATTTTTTATTTTTGCCAACGTTTCAACCCAAACATGTGGGTCATCTTCAGGGCGTGGTTTGAGCACTGAGGGTGTTCAAGTACTGACCGTAGATGACCCACATGCTTGGGTTGAAACGTTGGCAAAAATAAAAAATTATAAAAAAGACTGCGTCCAGAATATTTATCACCCATGATATGTAGAACAGTCGACTAACTTTCTTCAACTATTAATGAGTAGGTTCATCTGTTAAGAGATAAACTGGCTAGACTTTAATGTAATTTGAAATTTAAATGATCATTACAATTAGATACTTAATTTTATATCCCATTGCCTCACCATGTCAGACTTCAAAATAGAATAAAGCTTTACTTAAGAATATATTGATAGTTGTTAAAAATTTAATGATATTGTATTGTAGACAAGTATATATTTTTTCCCTTTTAATCCTCAAAAGTACTTCGTAAATAAAAATATCTTACTCATTCAAAATGGATTAAATATATATTTTTTTTCTGTTCGCATTAGAGGCCATTTAGATCTTTTGTTGCCTTAACAAGCCTGCTCTATCTCTGCCTATCTTCGGCTATTTCTTTCCATTTATCTACATGTAGCTCTGTTGCATCTTATATATATATTTTATTTATTGTTATTTTCCTGTTCTCTCCTACCTCGCGTTTTAGGCTATACGGAATTTTCCACGGCCGGAGGGTGAGGGCGGGGAATTCAAAATCCCCCCTGGCACCAGGACGCGAACTCGTTCTTATTTTCAATCTCAAAACTTCAATCTGGTTGCCGGGCAACGCGCGGTGCTGTGCCCCCGGTAGCCCATTCGGCCACCACGCCCCCTTGGATATATAATATACGAATAATCATTATTTTTACCATTTTTTAAAAATAACTTTAATTGTATTTAGGGAATTATGTTTATTATAATACACCCCAGGTCGTAGAAAAATAAGAAATGAAAGCTTTGTAGTAATTTATTGTAATAATTTTTGGTGAAAACACGGGTATTTTTAGGTAACAGGATTTAAAATCACATATTTTTTTTTTACACATCTTGCGGGGAATCTCAACATTTTCCCGACTATATGGACTTAATAATATGGAATTTTCAAAGCAAGTCATATTTTGGCAATAAAATATTAACTATTTATTATAGTATGATGAAGTTAAACTGGATATTTATTGAAAATTTCTGGATATATGATTATTGAATGCAACTAACTCTTGAATATAATTTATATAGAACTTCAACTTGAAAGACTAATAGTTGAAAACTGAACTAATTTCATAACAATCAAATGAGAAAAAAAGGTGACATTTATTATCAAGGCAATTTTTGTCGTTAAAAATTCACTATTACTATTAAATTTTACTATTATTTTGACGAATGTTTATATAAACTTTTTTGTAGCTCTTGAGGTTTGTAATCACTCCTATAAATATTTCTCTTGCAGGACATTCAATATATATTAAAATGTTTTCGGAGCATCAATTGTAAAAAATTACGATGTATTTATTTACTAAAGAAATATTTTCATTTCCTCAATTCTTTTGGATTTCGACTTTACACTTACCGATAGCGAATGCTGACATTTGACCAAAATGACTTTATTTCCTAATCATACACAAAATTTTGTTGATGAAAACCTCATTTTTTAACTTGAATGGTGTTGCTGTTGGTTATAAATTTTATAACATTTCGATTAAAACGTTTTACGACAATTATCGCAGTTAAAGTGGGATGCCAAATCTTAACTTTTCAAACGTTTTGTATTTCTAAATTTAAAGAGAGAAGGGATGAAAAATTACATTGGAAAATTTGCGGATGTATTTCGCCACTCGTGATGTAGAGGCGGATTTAGTTGATGTGTAGATATCCTCCAAATATGAAAAAAATATGTAATATTCTCCAAATATGATAAATAAAAAATGCTTTGTTTGCTTTTAAATTAGGTGAGACGTTAAATAAACTCTCGAAGAAGAGCGTACAAGGCTTTAAAAAATATATCAAAGTACATATTAATATAGTCCATAATCCTTACTATAAAAATGACCGACTATTTATACTGAAAAAATAGTATAAATCGTATCGATAGTTTTCAAATATATCAAAATATTAATTCGATATATCGATATTTTTATAAATCTAGTCGAGATATTTTGTGTTTGTAGCTGTAGCTCATCAATGAATTTAGGTGAATCGACATCCAAAAACTTCTTCAATTGACGTAGATATTAATCTTAACTTGATTCGACAAAATTATAAATTTACTGAAATTAACTTACCCATTAACATCCACATCAGTCGATTCCAAAATGGTTTTGGCTTTCTCCAGATGTCCATGTTCAACTGCGGCAAACAGAGCTGTAAATAAAAAAGTTAAATTTTAACTCAAGTTACTAACATATGTTACTAATTGGTATATTACATTAAGTAACCACTCTTAATCAACCAATAGAAGATGAGCTTGTAGAGAATCTGCACGGTGATTGGTGCTTGAAAAATCTCTTCCCACCAGCGCAGCCAATTAACGAGCCCTCTAAAAAACTGGGTCGCCCTCATCTCCTCGACTCTTCTTCTCTCAAAGAACTGCTTATTGATTCGAGGAGCCCTCTGTTTTTAAAACCAATAAAAAGGCTCCTTTTATACGCTATCTGAATTTCAAATGGCGATTGGCCAGCGATAAACAAGAAAACGACAGAATGGAATAAAGAATGAGCCGCTCTACTTCCACCAATATTACCTCATCTTTCCAATTTTCGTTCTCACTCTTTTTATTTTTAATCGTTCATTAATTCGAATAAACAATGAATCTATAAGCCTTCTTCCTAATATTAAAAAAAAAATCCATGAAACTAAAATTGAATTACATTTTATAAAAATAAATACAAAATAATAATTAATCAAATTATATACAGTAGGAAGAAGTAGAATAGCACCAGAATTTTATTGAAATATCTTTATTCAAATCTATTTATTTTCCTTATCCTTCATTCAGTTGGTTATAGTCCGTTGTACAACCCCCTTTTCTCAAATTATTAATATCCGCTAAAAACTTCGTGAATAGCTTCGTCTCATCGAAACCAATAATTTTTTTATTTATGAAAATTATCGGAATCATGCCGTTTTCAATCTGAAGATTGGCTAATTTTATTTGTATAATTTATTTATTGAGTATTACAACAATCTGTAACTTGGAAATTAGTTATAGTGAGATAGGATAACATTCACACTTCACACTATAGGTACAAAAAAAAAAAAAAAAAAATAGAAGCGAAATAACAAGAAATAATAATCTAAAGGTATATACAAAAATAAATTAAAAATAACAAAATTAAAACAAAGCAAAAAACACATGCATACCTATATACACTATTTACAATCAGGCGAGGGAACTCCGAGGAAGGCTTGTCCCTCCAACTATGGAGGGAAAAGCTGGACTTCAGGAGAACCGTGCGCTACTTTTTCAAACGCATCACTGGTACTAAAGCCAGCGGAGATTGATCTAGAGCACTTTAGCCACATACGCTCATGTCTGGAGTGGAGAATCTAGCCATTGCCAGAACTCCAATATATACAATCGACAAAAGGTCGCGGAGCCACTGGCGTTTCAACCGTCTTGCAGAATAGGGATGGAAAGTGCTTGATAGGGATCGTGCAAGAGGATTGGGATGATATATAGGGTTCTGTGGAAATTTGGAGAATTTTTTTGGTAAAAGATCAAGGACAAATGGGATGTTGAGGTCAGGATGTAGGGTTAAGTTTGTTACATGGAAAGGAGCATCCACTATTCTTCGAAGGACTTTTGACTGGAAGGACTGGATGCGTTTGATGTTAATAAATTTTGCTGTTCCCCACAGATCTAGTCCCTAAATCCAAATAGGTTTCTGTATTGTCTTGTAGATCATTATAGTTGACCATATCGTCGGTTAAGTTCCTGTCTTTTAAATATAGTATGAGAGTTCCACGTTAGTCGTCTGTCTAAGAGAAAGCCGAGATGCCGGACTGTATCTGAGAAAGGAAGCTAGACGGTATTAAAATAAACTGGTGGGCAGGATTTACAAAGTGTGAAGGTAATGTTTTTACTTTGGGATACGTTCATCTTAATGCGCCCTTTCTTACACCAGTGTTCAATCAGAGAGAGGTGAATTTATATAATTAAATAATAAAAATTCATAAAAAACCTTTTGCTTTCCATTTGAATTGTACTTCAAAAATATTTGGCCGTTTGGCGTGATCTCCACCCCTCTCATATCAAAATATATAGATTATAACTTTTGTGATCAAATTATCTTACGATTCAATTGGAAAAAATGGATATTTATGATTTTTTAGTGCCTAATTAAATTAATCAATTTAATGACAGAAGGTTCCACTTCTGAGAATTTCGGTAAATTAAAAATTTGCAGGTTACGATATGATGAAGCTATTCACGTAGTTTTAGGCTGATGTTAATAATTTGATAAAAAGGTGTCTTTACCACGGACTATTTCACTATGATCTCGGTTCTCGGTGGCTGTGTTCAATTACACAACCCGCGGTTCAGTCCTGTTTTGGCATATAGAGGTACTATTAATTAATTGACTAAAAGAAAAAAGTGATAGTTGTGCATGATATCGATCAAATCACCTTGCACAAACATTGACGACCAAGGTAAGAAGTACAAGGTTATTTTTCATATCATTCATTCCACAAAGGATGAATGGGCTGAAGCGACTCGGTTACTTATCTTTTGCTCATACATTGTCGAATAAAAAAAAATCTTTTATTACCAATAAGATTTTATAATTATGATTATGACAAAAGTACGATAACGCCGGATTCATCGAGCAAATCATTGTTTTTTAATATAATATGAGTGATATCATAGTTATTATCAATTTTCGTATGTTACACAAGAGTATATTTCTGCTTTCTCACTATGGAAGGTAGTGAAATTTTTATTCGTGCGGTAGATCAAAACAAGTTTTAGCTCAGAATCCAAAATTTCCATTCGCGTTCTAAGTTTTAGAAATCAGGAACAAATTTAGTTTCATGCCTGTTTGGTTATAAAAACCTTCACGTTTCAGTTTTGTATATTTCCATCCTTTTCTCTCGACCCTCTTTAAGTATGTTTTCTATATATAACCCTTCTTCTTATAACACTTCTTTTGAAATATTTAATGCAAAACATGTAATGGTGGCTTTCATTTATAAGATTAACATTCCAAGGGTAGTGGATTAATAAAACTCAACGTCAGAGGAAACTCTGTACAAGAGCTAGATGGAAAGAAGGCTGACAAAAAGTTATCTAATCCAAGAGGCGGCCCCCAGAATACAAATTGGATCTTTACGTCCGCCGTCTTCGGGTCAGGTTTTCACAGCCACACCAATCGTATGGCTTTCTTGGAATCGATTATTATCTCCATCAAGAACGTCAAAATAGTTTCAAGAACTTTCAAGAAATAATAAATGAGTTAAGTAAGAAATTAATTACAAGACAAAATGTCTAATACGCTCGTAGAAAAAGATGAAAAGTTTACGCAGGTTGAAAATAAATTCCCAAAAAATAAGAATTGTAAGATATAAATAATATATCATTGGGAAGAGGGAAATATCAGAAAAAATAATATCTATAATATAAAGTTATAATTAGTAATTAGAGAGTGATAAACTAGTCCTGTAATCTTGTCATGAAAACAAGAGCCTAAATTGCATCAAGTGAACCACCAACTTCAACCAAGGTTTCATTTTTTTCTTGGATTGGATCCACTAGCGGACCCAGGATTTAATTTTGGGGGAGGGGAGCTTCAGCCCGAAAAATTTGTTTCCATATACATATAACATATAATTAATTAGAAAACAAAAGAAAGAAATTAACTACCTATATGAAATGGTGTTTAAGTGGTTCTTGAAGTCCTATTAAATGTAATTACACGAACAAGAATACTTTAAGAGATAGTTTTTAATATTTTTTTTCTGTAAAACATAGTTATATTTTATCATTTGGGGGGGGGGGGAGGGGATTCAGCCCGAAAGCCTCCTCCCCCCGTAGATCCGCCTGTGATCGGATGTGACTGAGATGTAAAATAAAAATTTTCGCCTTCGATAGCCCCTTGGATCACTTTAGAATATACCAAAAACTACTATATTTTCGCTCTTTTTTCGGTTTTTCTCCATTTTATCAAAAAGGAACACGATTTCGACAAAAAAACACTCGGAACATTTTTTATACAAGATCAGTTTTACAACAATTTAAGACCACAATAGACTCGGTAAACCTAATAGATATTGAACTAAAGCTTTTCTAAATACGGGAAAAATGTTCAAATTTGAAAAGCGATAATAATTTTCGTGTTTTATCACACACAGTTGTAGTCATACCTTCAGTATCCTGTCTCATTAGCGGATCCAGGATTTCATTTTGGGGGAGGGGAGAGGGGGCTTCAGCCCGAAAGATTTTTTGTTTTAAATATAACGAACTTTGGAAGAAAAATGGAGAAACTAAGTATCTATACGAAATGACGTTCAAATGATTCTTGAAGTCCTATTAAATGTAATTAAACGAACAATAGCACTTTTAGAGATCATTTTTCTATATTTTTTTCAGAAGACACAGTAATATTTTACTCCCCATTTTGGGAGGGGAGAAAAAGGGCTTCAGCCCGAAAGTCCCCTCCCCGTAGATCACCCTGTGTCCTGTCTAATACGAGTCAGTGAAACAAACAAGTATTCAATTAAACATTTTAAAGGGAGAGTGCATTAGGTGGGAGAAGGTTTAGTGGGAGAGTCCATTATTCATCATTAGACAACCGAACTTTTTCTTTTAAATTTATTTAATGAAATTTACAACTTTATAAACAATAAACTAGTAAAAATGCACACATTAGAAATAATGGCATAAACAGACTTGAAGAGATACTGCCCAATGGTAGCACTCCCTATTTAATTCTAGGTGAGAAGATCACGAGGCCATCTTCTTTTCCGACGCATAGGGGGATTATCATGATAGGGGGACTGGAGTTTATCATGAAAGGATAGATATCTGGCTCGGGCTAAATCAGCGGCATAAGACAACTGAACTTGAAATACAAAATTTATGTATCATCATGTGTAAACAAAAAGTGTAAATGAAGTGAATGAAAGTGTAGAAGGAATGTGAATTATACGTTTTTCCTTCTATTCGAAGACCAGGATCAAGCAATCCATCCCCTTTACGGTATCAATTAATAATATATTATATTATATTAGGGTTTCTGTAAAAGGTTTTATCGTGGTTTATTCGAGAAAAATAAATTTTCATTCCATTTCAGTATGTCCAGGACGATGAATTAATCACTCAGTTACATCCCAAACAAGGGGAAAAAAAGGAAACTTCTACACCT